TTAATTGAAAGATTTGTAGAATTCTAAAACTACTCTGATATATTGGTAATTTAATTGCAATGATGAATTATCACCTCTGATATCTATAGAAAATATCCTGATCCATGAAAAATTTATTTCAATTGGCATATGCAACTCAGTTCAGTTCTATTAGGCAAAGATATACCAACATCTAGTAGTTTCATGAAGGTTAATGCAGTAAATATTTCTGAGAAACTCTGCAAACACCTATACCACAAGGAAGTATTAAACACCAGTGTAACTACATACATAAAAAATTAATTTGAATTTTTAGACATGTTTAGTGTAGCTCTCAGTCTTTATTAGGTCAATCATTTATATTTGATAAGTCATCACAAATCTGCAGGGAGAAATGTGAGAAACCATCCCTTTTCAATATTGATTTTTTTGTTATAAAACACAGAAAAAAACGCAAACACCAAGGAGACAGACCAGAAATAATAAAATATGGGAAACTTCAAAGAATAGAGATGCCTAATTGCCTTCCAAAGTAAACACCTGCAGATTAGGTGAAAAGGGTTTGTAAGGCATGCCAAGTCCTGACACAGAATCCAACATCTTTTATCCTTCATGTTGTCCACAGGAAAAGACTAAAATATCTGAGACCTGCATTAAGAGTGAAACCACAACATTACTTTCACAGTTGTGCTCCTATGGAGCACCTGAGGAAACATGAAAAGAGGTTGATTTTTAAACCCACTCAGAGACAGAATGGAATGGGGAAAGAAGAGATCTAAGGGAGATGATTTTTCTTTAACCTGATGTTAAACATAAAAACATTTACATTTTGTTGCAGAAAAGGTGATTTGGCTCGCAAGGGAAGAAAAACAAGAGGCAGTCTCAGAAACCTCCCTTTTGAAGATTTACGCTTGAGTAAAAATCTACTACAGAAACTGAATGATTTTCAATATATAACATTTAAAATAAAAAATCTGAAATCAATCATAGACGATTTTTTTCCGACTATGATTATGACATCTTTTTCATTGCAGCATAACATTCATCTCGCGTCCAGTGATTTCTACACAATACAACAGATCCCAAATCAAATTTGAGGATATGCAGGTTGTCTTGGAACACTACAAGTCCTTCAATTATCTTCTGATACAAAATTTAGTTCATATTTCAAATGTCAAATCCAACATTTGGAAATAAGTTTCTGAGACAAAGAGTTGACTTTTTAAAAGAAGTCATATTATATCATTTTCCACAACAGAATCTTGACACACTGAAATATCCTAACACTATTAATGCTAAGGAAGTAAGATATATACACATACAGTATCTCTGCAGTGTTGCAAATCCCTAGTTGTTTAATATTAATAGCTGAATATTTTAATGCTTTTTTCCATACCTTCCTACTTGAGTATATGCTTTGTTGGTAGATTTTGATCATTACTATAATTCCATACACTTACAACTGGCATGCAGGGAGCATAAGATTTTGTTAATATGAGCCTTTCTCTTCTCGTTTTTAAACACCTATATAACTGATTTGGCCTTAACATATTTATTCTGAGATTACTGCAGTGTAAATTAGAAAACTGTCACATCCTGTATCTTTCCTGAGACTTGGAATGATGCTTTTTATGCTCATCTCCAGTCACTTTTCATGCTCATGTCAAGTATCTTTACTGATGGACATCTCCATTTCATATGTGAGTGCTCTATGATGTCACACCAAAATTCCATATTTCTCAGATAAAAACCAGAAAATTCACTGAGCAAAAGACAGTGATGCCAGAACTGCAGGGGCAACAACTCTACAGTGGGATTTAACAAGATACTATTTCTGACACTCTAAGATATTGCTATGGTAACACTTGCAACATTATTGCTTCAAAATCTTTCACTAAAGAAATGAGATTGCACAAATACAATATAAGGAAAATACATGCATACACACCCACAGAAGTGAAAAATAAATGCAGCCTGAACAAAGACTCTTTGGGCTCTAATTAAATAGAAAACTTTGAGATATATCCTCATAAACACATACAATTTCAAACATGCTAGGAGGAATTTCACTGTCATTTTGCATCGATTCTGCTTAATCTAGGCACAAAGAAAAAATGTATAAAAACTGTTTATAAGTGCAAATTATACTGGCAAAAATACATAGCTATTTTTCCTGTTATGAGCTTCAGGGCTTGCAACTATAAGACTCGGCTGAGTAGGATGGCACTTAGAGACTACTGTGATTCCCAAAGTAGACACTGTGGGCTGTTTGTCCATCATCAGATTTAGAACTGCTACTGCCACACTGCTGTCGAGGTACGACTGCACTGTGGTCAGGGGACGTCAGCAGGAATAGACTGACCTGTTTGAGCCTCACTGTAGGACAGCCAAGAGGAGTGTGGAAACAAGCATTCTTGTTTCTAATTTGCACCAAAATTTCTGCTCATGCTTCTATTACCTATCCCTGCTGGTTTGACAAAATAAGTAATTACAGTTCTCCACTGCAGTGTAGAGACTTGACTTCTGAAGCAAAACTAGTTTATTGGCCTACAAATTAGGGAAATTATCAGAAGGTGACATACCCTCTGGAATATCTGGCATATGATGTAATTGGTTATGTTACCAAATTCTCAGTTTGGTTCTGAAATGACTAAAAATACCAACACATACAAAGGAATTCCCAGCTCAGGGAATACCAAATCACTCTCGGTGGAGATATTCAAGAGCTGTCAGGATGCAATCCTGTGCAATGTGCTCTAGGATGATCTTGCTTGAGCTGGGAGGCTGGATCATATGACCCACTGTTGTCCCTTTCAACCTGACCATTCTGTGACTCTTGAATTCTCTTATTTCTTGATTGGCCTCTGTTTCTGCTAATTCTTAATAACTGTAATGGCAACAGTTTCATAATTGTTCAAATAAACTAAAAATGTGGCATAGAAAACAGAATTTAAAAAGACAGACTATTTTTTTCTAGTCTGTATGCATTATTTTGTGTGTCCTGAAAAATTATTTTGGTTAGCAATAATACCTATTACCCCTTAATTCCCAAAGCTACCATATCACACACATATTTAGTTCTTAGTCTTACATATCCTCATGCTTTGGACTTAAGCAATCACAAAGTTATAGATTAATTTTTCACAGCTTTTACCAAACAGAACCTAGGCTGTAAATCAACAGCTGCATTTAATTCTTACTTTAAAACAGCAATATTTCTAGGACAGTGAAGCTCCAGAATTGCATGAAATTCTGGTTTAAAATAAAATAAGAATATCAATAATACCAATGCAAAAAAATTTCTAAAACGTTTGGATACAAAATGTCAAAAACTACAATTCACGTTTAAAAATTGCTTAAGTATACTTCCAATTCCTTATCAAAGTTTGTGGATAGACTTTATTGACTCCTCATTACTCATACTACAGTCCTGAAGTCATACCCTTACTTTGCATACTGATCTTCAAAAATGTTTTTTTTTTTTAGTTTTATTAAAGGCACAGTAACTTGCTATGCAATAGATTTTTTTTCTTAGTGGCAGACATTTGTGCCTCCCAGAAGCTGAAATATTCTATTTACCTAGTGATTTATGAAATACAACTAATGCACTAAAGATTTCTTCACTGACATTTTTTTTCCATAGTAACAGCTACAGCTATAGATTTCAAATAAATAACAGAAATTTCCTCTGAACTGAAACATCTCTTCAGTTTCTTCCTATTAGTGATCTGGAGATGGTATAGTTTAACTTTTCAAATTTACTTTGTTATATGTCCTCAAAAGCAACTATTAAACCATAAATCTACTTTATTTGCTCAATACATATCTTTTGGCCTTAAAAGACCATACATATTATGTATTAGTCATAACAGTCTCCTCGTTAAAGTATAATTGTATGTGATGTATTGCATAAATACCTCTCAATAGAATATACCTATCATGTGTTTGCTATTGAGACATGGATTATTTTAGTCTCAGTGTTGGCAAGAGCTACTGAACGCTATTCTTCTGTTTTTCACAGTTGTGTTTTGTTCAGCTTCTTACTTCTAGGCAAAAATTTTGTATATGGATATCAACTTGACATGGCAAATTTGAGGCCAAATGTTGGCCCTTCCATACAAGGAAATACGAAGAAAGTGGTCTGGGCCCCTTGTAGGATGTGACTTAAGGAAGTGCACAAGCCATCAGAGGACACACGTTCAACAGTTAAAAACAGAGCATTCAACAGTTAAAAACCACTCATGCACTTTTATAGGAAGCCAGACAAGGCTTCTGACATGAGCCCTTTGAGGAAACTATTTGTGCCCAGAACACCTTCAAAACTGAACAGTATCTAGCATCTACCTCCAATTCACATAAATCAGATATGAAGCTAGCTCTCACCGCAGATAAACTAAGACTGACACATAGCTTTCAGCTCTGTAATGCTTCTCTAAGTGCTCTGTAACGCAGCCTAAGTGTTTCCTTTCCCAGCACCATGCAGATTATAACACACCAGTGCAGCTCTGACTTCCTAAGCACTTTTTTTCCAGGATAGTCCCTGCTCTTAAACTACAAAACCCTTAAAACTCACAATAATTACCTGGGGCTTGAAGCAAGCGTACTTCACACCACTGAGATACCGGTGCCAACACCTCCTCAACACAGCTTTTACAGAGCTCCTCCCTGTGGCACAAGTAGCCAAGAAGCTCTGCTTAGCGTAGCCAAGCCTGGTCTGGCTGTAGTTCCATTGGTACTGCAGGCTCGCTTAGTGGAAGAGAGACAGCTGGTGACAAAAATGCCCTGTGTCCAACTGAGTTTTATATAGCAGCTACAACATTACTGTAACTATTCCAAATGTCTTAGGATTAATTGAATGTCCATATTGGTGACATTTCTTGATATATTGTGCAATTGGTTATTAAAAATCTACTCCTGAATTCAATGTATGTTAAAAAAAAAAAAAAAATTATCAACATTCTCCCAGAATAGGGTTAGGGCTTGTCCATGCTGAGTTAGGTCACCTGTTATCAATTACTTACAGTCTTAACCACAGCTGAAAAGAGCTCCTGTAAAGCACAGTGTGTTTCCATTCTTCCTGTCCTCCATCTAGAGGAAAGTTACAGTTCTCTGTATCTATTTTTCATAGGTTTCATTTTTCTTCAAGCTGAAAATTCAGACTGCAGCCCAGCACCTGCAATTGAAGCCAATTACAACATTTTAGGTTTCTCTCATTTCCAGCTTAATTTACTGCACCTGCTATTCTTTTGAAATCATCATTTCCTATCTTACTGTTTCAACTCTGTTACTGATGAATTAGAAAATAATTTGATGTGATTCATGATGCAATACACTTTTGTATTTCTTGCACTGTGTGTTCACAGTTTGCTACGAGTGGACTTGCTTTGAAAATGTATATTCTCTCTTACACTTGCTACTGACTTGCTGTTTTCTAAAAGAGGCTTTCAGGGCTGCTGGCAGCACTGAATTCAGCAGCCATGACAGCAGTAGTATTTCTTCCTTTCTCTGAAATGCAGGTCAGGAGGGAAATTGTGTTGCTAAGGCACTTCTATATCCTTGAAGGACTTTTCAGTTGACAATATGACTTCTCTGTTTCTAGCTGCCTCTTGTCACCTTTTATTCACTGCTCAAACTACCCCTTTCTCCTGCTTCAGTTTATAATACTATAATGAATATAGCTAATTTTTTTAAAAAGAGAAAAGTGGTAGAATGATGGTAACACTTTCCCAGTCCACAAAACATGCTTTACTTTCTTCATATCCCCTAAAGAATCATAACCAAATTCTACAAATTTGAAAGTTTATCTCCTCCCATCTCAAGCATTTCCTGAGTATTCTCTCATTCATATCCATTCCCTCTGTTTTAATTCTCTGTCTTCTCCTTCTCTTTTTCTCTTCTTTGTCAAATTAAGGATGCAAAAAACTCTGATCCTTACAAACTCATTTCTTGCCTATTTTGCTTGCAGTTACCAGCCCACCTTCATTACACTTTTTTAAGCCTTCACTGTCAGAAGACCCCTTCTTCCACCTACCATTTCTCCAGTTCAACTTCTCTCTTTGGTTTCACAGATTACATCTTGAAGTTTTGTCATCCACTTGTTCTCACCAGCTGTCCTCTTTAGAAACCTCTTCCATGAAAATGCATTTCTCCAACATTTTATGATTGTACTATAAGTCTCTCAACTCATCACTCTTCCCTCTCCACAGCCTTACCTAAATAATCTCCTCTACAAGCAACAAAGTCAGATATTGGCTGATGTAGTCAAACTTATTGCTTTCTATACAAACACCATTTCTTTCTTCTGGTATCTCCCAAGTGTATATTCACCAACCCAAACAAATCAGAACTTCTTCCATTAGCTCTCCTTTCTCCTTCCTCTCTTGACTGATGCTGACATCATCAACGTAGGCTCATCTTTCAGGACCATACCAATTACAATATTGATTTGCACATCTCTCATGTTAGACAAATAATTCCATATTACTTTTGGTGGCTTGCACAGTAAAAAACTCTTTCTTGATGTCTAATATGTATTTGATAAGTAAGTGGGGTACAAGCACCAGCACCTGTGCCTCCTTAATTTCTAAGACCTCTTTTAGGAACATATTTAAGCCTGTTTACACTGTATCTTGCAGCTGGTTAATATGTGGGCTCTGATTTCTCTATGGAAATTGCACAAGCTCCTTGCTTTCACTTTAAAAAATAGCTGTGGCACCATCACCTTACTTACCATCTTTCATTCACTTCTAATGGGTCATCCCTGTTCTCAAACAGCTCATAAAACTAACTTTCAGTGTGCACTTGGTAAATTTTCAAACAAGTATGTCCTATCCTGCTTCTCATTCTCGGAGGTAGCACATAGGAAATATCTAACATCTATTTGAAAAGCTTTCTTTGAGCACTGTATTCACCATGCCTACAGTGGACTTGAGAAATTTAGGCTGAAAAAGGGTGAGTCTCCTGAAATTGTTGTCTAACCAGATGACTATGACAGCACTTACACTGCTGGTCCTAAATTACACTTCAATCACAACCTTTTTGAAGACTGACTGTTTAAATAATAGCATGTCACTTACAACTGCTTATGACATAGTACCAAAAATACAGAATATAAGGCATTCTTCCTATTATGTCTTCATTATTTATTATATATTACTTTTTGTTACAGTGTCATGAGTCAGACACAATCTTACAGACACAAAAAGGAAGGTCTGAAAAGTCTAGCAAAAGAAAAACACCCTACAAAATCAGGCATTTATTCCTCAGTCTGCCACGAAGTTTTTATGGGCTTCTAGGCCAGTCACTGGAGAACAGCCTTTTAGACATGACAACTAATTGTAGATTTTACCTAAAAATGGAAAAGGGAATTTAACTGATAAAAATATTTCATAAAAGATCCAATAGAGAGTTTCAGCTCAGAGGGTTGTTTTCTTGATAAAGTTTTCCTTGACTTTTAGAATTGAAGGTTATTTCAAATCTCAAAATGTAATTCTTTTATTTTGAAAAAAGACCTAGAATTACTTAAGTGTTCATTTTTCACTTGCAAGGATATTTAAGACTACAAAAACTACTGAAATTTTTTGAAACACTTTGCTTCAAAAAACCCACAAAAAACCACACAAAAAACCCAAAACCAAAAACACCCAAAACAAACAAACAAACAAGAAAACACACACAAAAAAAAACAAACAAAAAAAACCCCCACACTCTCCAGGGTTTATAACAACAATAAACACACTTTGTCTAAATTTTGAGTACTTGACTTTAAAACCTGAATTTGTTCTTTATGCATTTAAATATAGAAACATAGAATAATTTAGGCTGGAAAAGACCACTAAGATCCTCTAGTCCAACCATTAATCCAGCACTGCCAAGTCCACCGCTAAACAATGTCTCAGCGACACATCTACTCATCTTTTAAATACCTCCAGGGATGGTGACTCAACCAGTTCCCTGTGCAGCCTGTTCTAATTCCTGAACACCCTTCCTGTGAAGAAATTTTTCATAATATACAATCTAAATCTCTCCCGGCACACCATGAGATCATTTTGTCCTGTCCTATTGTTTGTTGGAAGAATAGACCAACCCCCACCTCGCTACAACCTCCTTTCAGGAAGATGCGGAGAGCAAAAAGATCCCTCCTGAGTCTCCTTTTCTCCAGGCTAAACACCCCCCCAGCTCCCTCAGCCACTCCTCATATGATTTACTCTGTAGACCCTTCACCAGCTCTGTTGCCCTTCTCTGGACACGCTCCAGCACATCAATGTCTTTCTTATAGTGAGGGGCCCAAAACTGAACAGAGGATTCAAGGTGTGGCCTCCGCAGTGCCAAGTCCAGGGTGATAATCATTATCCTGTTCCTGCTGGCCACAAGCAGATGCCATTGGCAAACTCTCTTACCTGCCTAGACCCAAAACAAAGCAGCTACACCTTGAATATTTACTGTGTAATGCCTGGGTGTTATACGTTTCACTTAGGCCACTACCATGTCAAGGACCACAGAAAAAACGGTCCAGACAATCATAAAATAGTGCTTCTATATTAGCCTAAACTTAGCATAAGCACACTTAAACTTAGCTAATTGTGTTTGTGAGCCATATACTTCCTTGTTTATCACCCCATTTGAAGCCTTTATTAATTAACTGCACTGATCCTGTTGAACAAACATTTGAGAGAAAGACAGTAGCACTTTACTGAGTTTCTTCTTTCATTGCCATAGAGCTTTTTCCCACATGGCTAGGATTTTGCTGTAACCTTTTTTGTAAAAATATCTTATTTATTGGTTCCACTTTTTCCAAACCAAGGCAAAACAACTTTTATATCAATAAGCTTCCAAAAGAGATATGCTGTTTGCGCATACAATTTTGATAAAGTATTTATTCCCAGGGATATTTAAAATGTACTCTCTTGTTCTAATTATTTTCACCATCAGATAATTTAAACCTTTTTTTTCAAGTGGATATCCTAGCAGTGAGCCTTCTATGGGGAGTATTCACCACACCACTCTGTAAAATGGAGATTAAGATTTACTACAATGCAATGATGGAGCAAGACTCCATATGACTTTATACCAGCTCTGTTATTCTTAGCTTTAAAGGAAGAGCTCTGGTCTCTACTATAAAGACCATTTATTTTTTTAATCTAAAGAATAATTAATAGATTTATATGTGAATGTATGTATGAATACATGTTTTATATATGAAAGCAGGAGCATCTACATTCTAAGTGGGTTTATTTGGGAGACAAGTGCTAAATGACTTAACCCAAGGCAACTTGAGAGTTTCACAAAAGTAGCAAGATGTCTAGAGGCTTTTATTGCTAAAATTTATACACTTCAATGATCAGTCACTTCAAATAAGAAGCAGTAGCAGATTGTCTGGGGTTTTTGGTTTTTTGAACTGTGTCTTCAGTATATTCACCTTTTCCCAGCCTCAGCTCTGTGAGGTGCTTAAATTATTAAATAAGTCTAATAATCACAACATTTCTCTTCTGCCTGCTGAAAAGTGACTAATGAATGAGTGTATCGGTAAGAGTCCTAGACTTCTGTTCAATACATTTAATTCTACACATTTTAAGTTTAAGCTGACATAAAATACAATTTTAAAAAAATACATCCTGACTAGTCCATGAGTAATAGTTAAGTTATAAAACAAGGGGAAATAAAATGACTTCATCTAATATTGCTTCCAACTCACACTTTCAAAGGGCATGGTTCACCCTTACTATGCAACAAGGGATTGTTTCAGCCCATATAGTGGGATAAGTGTTGCAGCATTATGACTTATACTGAGTTGTTAGGTTGTTAAAGCTGCAAAAATCAAAATACAGTCAGCTCTGAAATATCCCTGCCTAGTTTATCCAAACTGCAGACGTTAAGACTTCCAACTTGGCTCTGTACAGTGCCACCTTAGGTGCAGTTTGGTTTATAAGCTCTTAGAGTTGCTGCTGTAATTTCCAGAAGATTTATTAGCGAGGCTGTAGTGCAATGCAAAATCATGGTTTCCTTCTTTTTAAGGGAAAGTCATTTGCATCACTGGTAGAGAAGAAAGGAAGAAAAAGAAGCTAAAGATTTTGAGTCACTCTGTACTAAAATAATATGTCAAATACAGATGAGAGTCAAGTTTGGTTATGGAAAAACTTGGCACATAAACTACAAAAGACACAGACATACTCAAAGCAGCTTCCATCTATGTAGCAGAGATAATAGCAATTAAGTGGCTAAAGTGCTCCAGAGACCCTATATTGGCTAGTTTGCACAAGCAATCCTCAGCAATCTTCACTGCTATTTCTACCCAACTAAGTAATATGAAAGCCATGCAAGGCCATGCTTATATTGGGTGGCAGGCTGTCCATCAGCCCCTGTACTACCCCCTCCTTAAATGTACAGATGGAATATTAAATACATATTAAGTGGCTGTTAATGGTACAGGCATGTCTGTTGCAGCACAACATTGGGTTCATCAGGGTTCAGTTCAAGCACCTCATGCTTCTATGTAATCTTCATGTATAGATATTCTGTCCATAAAAACCAAACTGTCATGATGGTAGCAACCTTTCTCACTTATCCAAACATGGAGGCAGGACACAATTGGGCACGTTTTGTGCCCTCTGGTCCTCTGGTTTCCATATAATGCAATAAGCATAAAAGACCAAAGAAGAAAGTGACTCAGGCAACAGGGAGATTAAAGTTGAACTGACCCAGAACTAAATGGAAATTTCCTGAGAAACGTACCACTTTTCCCAGGAAATTTGTATTTCGGCAAAATACCACTGGCAGGAAAATATTTTGTATGCAAAATGTATCATCAGCCTTTCTGAGAAAAAAAGCAATTTTACAGATGCATGGGTATACTTAAGAGACAGATTCATTTGACACACCACATCCTCACTGTCCTTTGTTCACATTATATACATTATATCTTTTTGGCACTGCAGTGAGAGAGACTCAAAGGATTTGTAAGAATTTTCTTTTAAAGTAAAACATGTTGAAGTAATTAAATAAAATTGCCTTTAGGGTTTGCTTTACATGGGTTTTAACTTTAACTGAATACAAAAAAAGACTAAAGACAGTTTTCCATTATTTTTAACTGGGCACTATTATTTCCTGGGTTTTTTCTTAAGAACTTTATATTTTTGAAGAAAAAAGAATCCATCTATCTTTATTCTCTGTTTCAAAAAAATGTTTACTCATATTTCATACAATGCTTTTTGCTTCAATTTCCTGGTTTTTCATTTTATTTTTATAGGAGTATCTTTGCAATGAGTTAGATTGACTTAGCCTCATACACTGTCTTGTGTCCTTCAGTCAGTGTTATCTAATGCAGAGGCTAGATGACTAGAGATTTCACTGCTGAGGGATGCTTTAATTATTTGGTTTTCTTCCATAAGTTTTTAGCAGTGATAGCAACAATAAGCATACCTTCTGAGATTTCTTCACAAGGAGGAATGTATCTGTATTTATATAAAAATATACAGTAACTATCAGATAAGTGGTCTCCCTGCAGTAGTTTCTTCTTATATGAAGGAAATGATTCTCTGACTTGAGAAGAATAATTCTCTCATCCACTCTAACCGTGTTATCCAAGGACTAGAATCTCAGAAACACAAAAGCTACATACTGCCAGGCATAAAAATAAAATTAAAGGAGACACAATGCAGTTATCACACAATAGGAGCAGCATTAGTAAGCAAAAGGACCACAATGATGCACTCCACAGAGAAAAACAGACCAATTATTAGCCACAGGATATTTAAAATAGAAAGACTAAATGGAAAACCATTAAACAGATTTTTTTTTAATTAGGGTTTTCATGTTAAAAATAAGCCAACTTGTTTCATTAAACCCTGAAATTCACTCTAGTTTTCATTGAAGATTTGGTATATTTTAATTTTTACTTTTTAGCATATCTACATAAATGCCATTTATCCTCTGATTGAAACTGAACTATAAAAAGATATAAAATTATGCCATCTAAAATCACACGTAAATTAAATTATCCAGATTTGTGATACAGATAACTGATGCTCAGAGGGTACCTAAATGTCTGATTGACCTTAAAACCTAAATTAAATTACTAAGGTGGGATGCTTATCTCCACATAAAATTAATGGAGAAAGTTAAGGTCCTATATGAGCTGAAGACTACTTTAGGTACTTTGGTTCTGCCACAAAAATCAGATCTCTGAAATGGAATTTGAATCTAGTGAAGATGCACACCAGAGTCAGATATAGGATGAGCTCCGAGGTCCTAAACTACAACCACAAATAAAATAATTTTTCTCATTCATGACACAGAAAGATAAGGTTCTGTACAAGGAATTTTTGTTGAATATACAAAATCAAGCCATGTGAATGCCTTGTCAGAAGGAATATTCTTTATGACTCAACAGCTACTTTGTTTTTTATAAATAAACTTGTGAAGTTCAGTATTGAACGTTCTCCATTCTAAATAGAAAGCTACAAGTGGGCATGTGACAAACACTGAAAGACAAATATGGACATCACATCCACCATGACATAATAATCATCATTATTCTTTAGTGCTGCCTAAAAAGGAAAGAAACACAGCAATCAATGATACGAGAAGAACTGTTCTGCTGAGATCTGCATTTTTGCTGAACTTTGTCATGACCTTGAATGCAAATCAGCCTGGGATGTATGTATCCTAAAGATTTATTGCACTGGTTTGCGCCAATCTTTTCTTAATAAACTGAGCTAAAAATAACTCAGACAGCTCATTAGTTATAGCATGACGCATTTCCCCCTTAATGTTGGGGATGGCAAATGTCTTCACTCTTAGAGCAACACGTGCTGTTTAATACCTACCGTACCACAAAAATCAGTCTAGTCCTCTATGCATCATCTGCTTAAAGAATAATCATCCTGTGAGGCACTTGTCTTTGGCATCCTACCTCACACTGTTTTCTGCCTTGCAGTATCTTTCACTGCAATAATGTTTGCTTAGCCTTGAGATTTATCCTTTCTCTTCTCTGAGTATTATTTAGAGTTATTAATAAAATTAAAATAACCTCCTGTGCCATATTTGGGCTGTCTACAGCTGTCTACATGTAACTGAAATGAAACATTTTAGAGAGTTACCTCAATGGAAACTCTGTAGCTAAAAAATTCTTGTGGCATTAGCATCAAATGTTCTATGCAAAGGAATTGTTTTTCTTCAAGGAATTTTCCAGTAAATCACTATAAAAATAGCATTCCTCTTGATGTTTCCATTCTAGACTAGTGTATTTTTGCCAGCCTTATTTTTTTTAAGAAATTTTGTAACATAAAGAGTATTTGTTTTCTTTTTTAATTCTCCATTTGTTCAGTGTTTTATACCTAGTCAGAGCCAAGGATGGCTGTTTCATTTACACATTAGTCATAAATATGCATTTCCAGGGGTAGCATTAGACTCACTAAGCAGCAGTGGAATTATTTCCTTTATCACTATGCTGTCTCTTTTCTTTGGAAACTGTTAACTCTGCACTGTTTCATTACTCACTCTTCTCCCTTACCTAGCATTTTGTGGACAGTAGGATAATCTTCAAACACAACAGGGATAAGAAGCCACATACTTTAACTACCACACCACTTACAAGCCAGCTGGAAATCTACGATTATCACTTTTAGAAGGACAGGAATTAAAGGTAATGCGAGTCAAACCACTAAATAAAATACTTCTCCCCTTTCTAGACTTCTCTCATGTCAATAAAGTCCTACCTTATCTCCTAACTTAGATACAATACTACAGTCCATTTCAGTTCCACTTACCAAGCGCCTTGAGCCCTCTGTGGAGGTGTGTGGTTCTGATAGCTGGAAGGAAGCAGCTCCCCTGGGGAGGTGGGTGATGCTGTGCGTTGGAGAACACACAGTCAACAGCGCTGCCTATGACTTAAACTCTTTCTTCAGAGGCAGTTGAAGACACTCAGTAGGAAAACCAGTAAGCGCATGATACTAGTGGCATAACACTGTAGGACAGTTTAAGAATAAATTGAACTATCCAGAATTTCATTTTTGAGAAAAATCTATGACCTATAAACCTATATTTAGGCCAGTATAATGTTACTAGGATAATGATATTGTAATGAACTCAGACGTTACGTTTAAAATAATCAATTTGAGTCTATTAAATAAAGCTTTTATAATCTCCAAATTAAATCACTATATGAATATGGGATCTCTAAAAGTTTATGCAACATCCATTGGCTGAACAAATTTGATGTAAGACCTAGTACATAGGCTGCCTCATTTTAGGCCTATAGACTGTAAAGTTTGGATGTAATCTCAGTGCAAGTGAATTACTCTATGCCCTACTAGGAAAAAAATAGCATCAAATGATGTTCTCTTCTAAGGAGTCACAACACCTCAAACTCGGTAGATTTTCATATTATTAATTTTTATTTTAATTAATTTATTGTCAGAATAAAGAACCATGTATTATGTGAGATATCAGAAAGACAGTCATTAAATCATCAAAAAGTGTTTTTTAAAATAAATTTGACCACAAATTCAGGGAAGTTTATCACTTGATCTTTAAAACCAAAAGAGAAAGTGAAAATAGGCAGTATCAAGACATCAGATTCAGTTTCTAAACATCTTACTTTTATAAGATTTCAGGTTTGAACAAGCAATAGTAAATTATGATGGTTAACCATACTTAAACTACTGAGCCACAAAAACTGGCTGTACACGTGTCTAGCCTGTTAAACTGCAAACTAAAATCAGATTAGTAGAAATCACTTTCAGAGTGGATTAAACTAAGGCATTTTACTTTACATATGTTATGCATACATAGATAAAACTTATCTAATGAGTTGTATCTTGTTAAACATTGATCCCTGAGAATCCCACTAAGAAGAAACCCCTGAAATATTACGTAGGAAATTATTTTTTTTAAAATCTGCTAACAGCACTGTTACTGCACCAGACACAGATGACTAGCTGAACTCTCTCCTCAGATAGTTATGACCTTGTTTTTGTCAATATATTTGTAATTTGTCTTGGAAAATGGGTAAATAATTTTGCAGGGAAATCCTCTTTTTTTTTTTTTTTGAAAGTGATCACCTCTAATCTCCTCCTTGCCCTTTCCTACATGCACTCACTTCTAGTTCCCATCTTTACATGTTTCTATAGTTTTAATTTGAAATAAAAATGTGAAAAAGAGCTGTATTGTTCTTACAGATCCTACCTGAAAGTCCAGAAGTGTAAGGTGTAGCCAGGTAGATGTAGATTTCAAAATTAATCTGTTAAACACAAGAAATCAGAGGAAAAAAATTATTTATTATTGCTTGTATTTAATTTGAGCATCTTTGGTAGAACATGTCTCTACTCAAAATATTGAACATGTATAATTGATTGAACTTGACAGAATTAACACAAATAGATTTTGCCACTCTCTAAGAAGAAAGTTTTATTGTGAGTCCAATTTACCACAGACATTTAGCCCCAGGCTCACAGAATCCAAATTTTAGATAAACACTGTTGCACAAAAAGGAATCTGAAAAATTTGCTCATACACAGAATTATGTTGTTGACTTAGGTAGGAGCTTGTCACCAACATTTAGCAAAATTTCATGACTGTTTTTATAAGCTGACAAAGACCATTTCTTTTCATATGCAAACTGCAAGTGCTCTTTTCAGAGTTACGTGAGAGTTGCACTTTTTCAGAATATAACAGGTTTTTTGGTGCATCTTCTTTCAAACATTATCAAAATCATTTATATTAGGACAGTAATGGATGATGTGTTCACATTTTAGCAGGTATTTTCATTACTTTAAGACAGCTAAGGCTCCAGGAAAAAAATTTTACATATGATTAATGATACAGCAGATTCCTATAATAGTGGTAAAGTATGCAGAGATCTAAAACACACAGGAACAGTTTTGCAATGATGAACTGCCAAGGATATTAAATTCTTTAGATCACTAATTCTGTGCCATATACAATACTCAATACATACAATTGACTCAGTGTCAAATATGAAATTCCTTTGATATTAGCTGGAGTACAATCTATCCTGGGTACAATCTATTCCCCTGTAAACAAGCCCATCTCTTTGTAGACATGACTACATGGTCACGATGCAAAGATGAATTACTTAGCTCAGGCTTTGTACAGTCCTCCGTGGCTGCCAGAAGAAAACTGGCTTGCATCCCAGTATCTTGAAATATAAGTGAATCCACTTTCAGATTGTGTGTATTTGACTTTATAGATGTATCTCAGCTCCTTCTTTGTCAAATTAAAGCATCACCAAATTAATAGTTTCAACTTCTGCCACAAGTCTACCACTACAGAATGCTGAGGAACTTCTTTTATTCAAACTTCATTCCATTAGATGTAATAATCTATTGAAGGGGATTTCAGGCTATCCTGAGGTCACAACCTATCACCTGCAAAGAATTTTAGCCATTTCCATGTGAGAAAGTGTATACTTACGTTTTAATGTTGTACTCCACATAGTAGTAATAATACTACACAGCTCCCCAGAAAGGAGTTCTGGAAATAACTCATGTTTTCAAAACATGCTCAGAGTACAAAATCCCAGGTTAAGATGCAAAGTACTAGAAAGTACAAATAGTGTTAAAAGGTATGCTACTGCTTTTGTCCAGGCATCATCTGAGGATATAAGAAGACCCCAACAGTAAGCTCAAAAACTTTCAGTTCCAAAAGCAACATATTTTCTGGAAAATAAATAGGAACAGGTCTGTAAGGAGTGAAATAATAACACAAACAGCAATTTATTGTATGCAAAAACTGCAGCTGCAGACGTTTTCAGTGCCAAACAGCTGAATTTGCTTTAAATGCACATAAACAATGTGATTTTCATCACAATTCACAAGTTTTTCTAATTCAGACTTTATTCCCCCAGTGGATATTAATGCAGACAAACTCTTTATTTCACACCTACATTTTCTATTGTCATAGAGAGATACCACACTCCTGGGTACCCGTGACCTTTCTCGCATTTGAAAAGCAAGGAATATTTGGAACATCACATCATGAGACAAAAAGTAGCATAACATAGACACCAATCAGAACAATGGTCATGTCAAGTGTGAATAATGAGAAATCACCTAACATGGAAACTTCACAACATGCTGTCAGAGCAGACTAATGGAAGAAAAAAACCCTCAAAGACCAGGTTATACCTGAATCACAAATGGACAGATAAGTACCAATATTACATGAAAGCGGAAACATACAATCTCCTAACTGAAAACTGAAACAAGTCATCAGAACACCTCTACAGCTCACAGCATCCTGCTTTGTCAATCTCTTCCCAAAGGCACTACAGATAAAAGCAGGTTGTAATCTGATAAATCTTTCTGCCAGTTTCCTGCTACCTCTCCCAGGGAATGGTAGTCCCCTTAGCAGTGGCAGCCATGACCATACATAATCTTGCCAAGAGATCATCATCTATATGGTCTTGTGATGGTGGATACCTGCATGAAAATTAGTACATTAAAACGACAGTTCCAAGGGCTATGTGAAGCCTGTCTTAGTAAAAGATAAGGATAACAAAAATCTCTTTCTTCAAGATATTATGACTTAACTACTGGCTGCTTAGCATCAGCTCACTACCAGGTATATTATTTTTATATACAAGTGCTGTTGACACAGTAAAATAAGAGCAAAGCTAGGCACATTTTGTCTATTGGTATCCTACAGATTAAAGGAAACTGGTTCCTGGATTAGTCCCAAGCATTATTATATTTATAGATATAGTAAAGGCAAAGGTTATTGCATTGGAACTCTTCAACAATCAGAAAGACACAAGACTATTTTCTTTTAATGCAATACAAATACGTTGCAAAACATATGACTATCAAAAAGCATTAGGCCAACTTGTGTAGAAAATTCCTTGGGATATCATTACAATGCATTTGTTTGAATTTAGTGACAAATTAAGTTCTATCTGAAGGAAATCTAATCAACAGAACCTTAAGATAAGTATAAAATACTGTGCATGTCATAGTCTCATTGACAGTACAAGCTGTGCCCAGCTAGAGAAGACATTCTGGATTTAAATATTTTACTGGGTTTTTTTTGGCTTAGCACCTGGAATTGTTCAGCTTAACTGGCAGTTGAAGAACAAGAAAAAAGAAAAATTAATTTAGTGACATCACAAGGATCTTTCAGATTCATAAACTGAAAGAGCATCAAATGATTAAACACAGATTTCTAGGACTGATGATATCTTTTTTATTTACATTATTTCACTATTTTCCAGAAAAGTATGCACAGAACATATGGTAGGAGCATAAGGGACTGTAATGCTTTCTATGGAGTCAGGGTTTATGTCACAAATCACTACACTATTTCCATGAGGCATATAATCAAAAAGCATAGATTAGGCTTCACCCCCACACAGAATGGAAAATGTCTACAGACCTCACAGTGAATAGGCCTCAGTGAAATAGAAAGACCAGGCAGCACTGTTATCAAAAAGAATATTTGTCTGGAAAGATGAATGCTAAGAAGATTTTGAAGTCATAAAGGGAAGCGGTCTAACTCATGCTAGCCTTAAAACTCATGATTCATCTAATTTGCTGTAGTCCATAATACCAGACATACATGCCAGCAATTGAATAAACTGATGTGGCTGTTACACACAGACCAGTAACTGCAAATTCAATCAGAGAAACCAGATATTCACTCACATAACTTGTGCTGATGACTCCAAACACTCTCAAGACATTTTAAACCCTGTTTTCAACTTCCCTGCACTTCAAAAACCTTTGAGGAATAGAGATATTCAAAACCATAGTTATTCTATGCAATTACGTTAATTATGTTAGCACTATGGAAGCATGACATTTCCATTCACATCTTCCACTTTCTTAGAATCTCAGAAGGAAAAACATGTTTCATTTTCACACTGAATGTGCTGTCTACACTATATGCTTCGTTCATTAGTTTTCAGAAGAATATTTTCATGTCTGATAAAGAGCATTTCTCGGCCAATTTTACAGCTGTACATCAGAAAGAAACAATAAAAAGACATGTTCTCACTAGATTATTAGCCAAGTTGACTGTATGTTCAAGACTTAAATGTTTATAAATGGCTATGATTTTTTGCAATTACAAATACTATATGGTTCCTGTATATTCAGCTTGTCAAATATTTTCAAAGATGAAATGTAATCCATCATTCTTTTTTTCTTCTAAATGCATTCATCTGTAATATCCAAAGGAGATCAGCTATTCCCTTTGTATGTCAGTTTGTCTCAGATTGTTACTCTCTTGCGTGTCTTCTTCCTTTTCATGTATTACCATAAAATCATGTTTGGAAAGTACCTGAAATGTTACTGCAATTTGGATAATAATTAGAAAATTCCTCCTTATAAGTTTTATGTTATTACCTGAAATTACTGTTCTATACCAGGGGATCATGTAGTTTGCGAAATGTTTATTATGCTTCTTATACCAGTTTGCCCATCATTCAATGGTTTAAGATGGTGATGTGTGAAATTATATACACAAGTTTGCTAAAAATATCTGTCAACATCTAAAAAAACCTCAGATGTAACAGAAGCCAAATTTAGGGATCCAACTGAGTAAAATATTCTGTTTATCTAAAGGGATTGGAAAAGAACAGTTTTGCTAACTTTATTTACTTTACACTGTCCTAAGAGTATTCAGTATTTATTATCTACCTTTTGTTTTTTCCCCACAGAAGTGGCAAGCATACATTCTCCTTCCTGCACAATCTCTGCCTTTACGTTATGGATTCCATACACTCATCTCTGTAGTGTGTTATATAAGTAAGAAATAAATATATGTGATCCAGGAAAAAAATACTGTTTCCAGTTGTATTCTAGCAGCACCCAAGTACTCCCTTTACACTGGGAAAAAACCTCCCTTTACACTAGACACATGACAAAAACATAGCAATACCACTCCTGTGCTTCACTCCTGCAAAATAACAATCCCACTTTCAAAAATCTGGAACCACGGATTGATTAAAAGACAATTGTTAAAGAAACTGAGGACTGAGACATGTAATTCAGTTGCCACAACTTAACAAGCAACCATGCACCAGCTAAACATAGTAATAGTCTATGTATACCAGCACATCTAAAAGAATTACCCATTCAGTACAATTCAGCGCAGAATGAGACAAAAAAAAATGGGTATCCTGCAGATGATTACCACATGACAAGGCACACTGAGAAAGTGAATAGCTGAGATCTTGGGAAAAAAATCTGCAACTCAGGGAAAAATAGCAACTCTTTAAAGCTG